TTCAAATTTCAAATTCCAGTAGCCCAGGCGTCTTTTGATAATTTTTCTCTCTCCTCCGACATTCCACCCGTGGTCCGCCGCCGACGTCCGACGTCCGCCGTCCTCCGATACATTCCGACCACCGTTTGAAGCCGTTTTTCCCTGGAAAGAGCGTTGACTCACGGTGATTCCAAATCTACACTTAGATTTGCGATTGGGACTTTCAATCGACGCAAATCTTCATGTGATCCTCCGCCGGTTTTCGCTGCTTCTCGTCGATCGTGGTTGTCTCAGCCTCACCACTAGACTCTGCTTCTTCTCGTGTCCAAACCCCATATCCTAACGTCGAGTTTCGGTTCTTCTCTTCTGTAATTTCCAGTGTACTGGTTCGGTAAATACCTATTCTTCAAACTTTCAGTTTTTCCAATACATCCCTTTCCAGCCACCCAGTTCTCTCCATGGAATCCCATCGCCCGCTTCAGTCCAGGCGAACTTGTGGGGTCACTGCAACAGCCAAAGGAGGTGCAGACGCTGTGAAACCCACTAGTACCCCTTCTGGACCCGTCGACACAATATTTCTTTCCTATTCCGGCAAGGAAAAACATGAGAGGGAGAACGAAAAGGAGAGAACAAAGCTCCGGAAAAGGATCAGGCGAGCCTACACCAGACGTATGCTGGTCGGATTGAGGCAGTTCGGTAATTTCCATCTCTCCGAGCGTTCTAATATGAACGATGTGCTAGCCGCCTTGGCCCGTGAGACAGGTTGGACAGTTGAGGCCGATGGCACTACCTACAAGCACTCGCCTTTGTCCCATAATCAGCAAAATTTAAGGGTATATTCAGGGAGGTCGGGTGAAAGTCCTTTATCAACCCGGCGTTTGAAAAATTGCTTTGTTAAAGCTACTTCAGATTGTCAACCACCTGTTGTTAGGACTGAGGACAATGGAATGTCTTCTTCTCAAGGAGGGAAACAAAAGGTCAGAAAGAATTCTATAGTACAGGCATCATCAGCTTTTCCTATCACTGATTTTGATCATGTTAGAACTAAGGAGAGCACCACGAAAGGGTACTCCTATGAAAAGTTTTCCGAAGTAATGAAAAAGAGAAGAAATGGGTTTCAAAATTGGTCGAAGGATGATCATCCAAGAATCGGAAATGGGATCAGAAATGGTTGTTACACGATTTTTATCGATAACCTTCCAGAGACGATCCATTGGAAGAGACTTGGGTCTATTTTTGGCTCTCATGGCCAAGTTATTGATGCCTTCATTCCTAAGAAAAGAAACTCGAAAGGGGTCTGTTTTGGGTTAGGATAGCGATATCAAAGATGAATGGTATTTATATATACGGTAGCAAAGTTAGAGTCTCTTTGGCTAAATATAAACCCCGACAATCTTTTTGGAGGAAGTCCTCGACAATTGTTCATAGTAAGTCTGCGAGGGAAGATATTTCGAGGAATAAACTCTTTGAAGTTGAGGGCATAGTCGACGAAGATAAACTACAAGTGTTGAGCAACTGTCTTGTGGGGTGGTGCAAGAACTTTATAAAACTTGGAAATCTTGCTAACCAAATACAAGCCAAAGGATTAGCTGGTTTCACGCTAATGAGAGTTGCTGGTAATGTAGTTCTCATGGTTTTTGATGACTCTGATTCGTTGAGAAGCGTGAAGGATGATAAGTTAGAGATGCTTGCAGAATGATTTTCCAGAGTGGAAACTTGGTCAGAGAGCCTAGCGATGGAGTGCCGACGCGTGTGGTTAGTTTGCGAAGGTATCCCTTTTCACGCTTGGAATTGGGATACTTTCAAAAACATTGCAACTAAGTGGGGCAAGTTAATAGCAATTGACAACAGTTGTGAGTTTCCATCGTCTTTTGATCGGGCTAAAATTCAAATACTCACAAATGCTAAAGGGAGAATTGATGAGTTGTTGGAGTTGAAGGTCGGTGATAATTTATTCAATGTCTTGGTGCATGAAGTTGATCCTTCCTTCAAACCTAATTCTTGGGTCCCTGAAGATTGTGATATTTCTTTAGATCTTGTTCCTCCTTTTGGATCGTGATTGTTAGGCGGTTGTATTCAGAGGTGTTTTCTAGTTTGGGGTGGTAATTGTTGGTTTTTATTTTGCTATGTTATCTTACATCTTGAGGTGTATTTTAGAAATAGGGTTACTGTCTTAGGGGCATTTTGTTTGAAGATGTAAGATTTCTAGGTGATATGGTTTGTATTGGTGTATATTTCCCGTAAGAGGGATCTGTGTTACCACATGTAATTGGTCTACGATTTAATAAACTATGAAGCGCTCTTTTCTTCCTTCCTATGTTCTTCTACATACTTCTAAGTATGTGGAAGAATACGAAGAGAGTTTTTAATGAGACCTCCAACTTCTATCAAACAAAAAATCTTATTGTCTAGGATTGCAATAACTTCATACCACTTTCTGCACATTACTACAATTGCAGACTTTTGATCTGCTCAAAATGCTGAAGAAGGAAGAAGAGATGCTTTCTGCTATAAAGGAGAAACAGCTAAAGGTATTAATCTGTGTAAATGACGGATGACCTATATCTCAACTGTTGTATTGAGTACTTGTGCTTTTTTCCCCCTGAAAACTTGTCTGCCTTCTGAACCTTTGATGATGAGTTGTGCTGAGAGTTTCCACTAGAATAAGATTAAAGTTTTGAGTAAACTACTTGAATATTTGACACTATACACCTCCGTTAGGGGATGTAATTCATTACTCCAGTTACATATTTTATGATGTTAAACCTAAGAAAAATATCTACACGTAATGCCAAGATTGATACTATTCAGTCCAAGTCGGGTCTTGGTTAATCTTTTTGATAAATACAAGAAACATTTGCCCCTGTTAGGTTCTCATAGCCTTAAGTTCATGCTTAAGGCTGATACATGGCCAACTGGCTATTGACAAAGGAGCAAATTGGAATTTCTTCTATAAATTTTCAGAATTCTTTTAACTAAATTATCTGAAACATGAACATGTGTAACTGATAAACATTACAAGATCTTCTGTAATATTTTCATCTCCTTTCTGCCGAACCATGACTTGTTACAACCTGTGACTAATTGGTGAAATGCCCATTGAAGGAATCATCGAAATGCTTCTTTATATTTTACTTTAATTTTGACAGTAATTTTAATTTACCAGTTTCATCTTCCTTGCATTTCAGGAAGGGGAAAAAGAATTTTCTGACTGTCCTTGATGATCGCACCAAGAAAGCAGAGGCATGGCATCGTGATGCTGCATCTCGTGCACGATATACTCAACCTGCGGCACCTATCACACGTGCTACATTTGCACAAGATGTTATAGAAGGAAGGGAAAATGTTTCACAAGCACATGACCACAAACACCAGCCAATGATCTTTGGACCGCAAAGCCTTATAGGTGGAAGCCTAACAAGTGAGAGGGAAAGGATGGCAGCACAGGTTTTCCAACCTGCTCATAGGTAAATCCCTGTCCTGAAATACTACTTTTATATACTTTGCTTCATTGCCAAGTATGGAAGGAGAAATTTGAGCATCAAATTATTTTTCGTTAAAACATCTTGCCAAGTTATGACAACATTTGCATGTGATATTGACAGCATACTGGTTCTAATCATTTATGAAGAAAAAATAGCTAGCTGTTCTTTTTTTTAATTTATTGTTTTCAACTGTTAATCAAATTATCTTGTAGGATGCCAACGATGAGTATCGAGGAAGCTGGTTTGTGGGAGATGGAGATGATGAATAAGTGGCAGGAGAGGAATGTAAAAATGTTTGAAGAAGCCAACTCAGCATGGAACAAAGACAAGCCAAAGATGGGACCAAGTGAAGATGATGAAGATGATGATGCGGCCCAAGACAAGGCAACAGCATGGGATGACTGGAAAGATGATAATCCTCGAGGTGCGGGCAATAAAAAGCTTACCCCCTGTGGGTAAAAGTCACAAGTAGCTCTCCTACTCTTATAACTTATTTGTTCAAATCTAATAAATGATGGTTTTAGGAACATTTGTAACATTCTTATCGATTTTGTTCTTAATGAATACTGTCTGTTTGAACCATAAATATATAAAATGCATACATCAGGTAGACGAACTTGAGTTCATGTAGGTGTTACCTAGTGCTTAGTAAGATTTAGGGTTTAAGCGAAATGTCTAGGTGCCAGACTTTGGGACCAAGAACAGTTAAAGATTCATGAATGAAACATTAGAGATTCCATGGTAGACTGTTGTGCATGGATAGGCAAGGCAACATCTAATACCGTGTGCAGTTTTTGGCTTATGAAAACGTGGGCGATGTCCTTACATGTTTGCAAAGTAGTAACGAAATTGAAAGGTTGAGCATCCCTTTGATTGTATTTTGTTGCCTGTTTACTTCTCCTTTTCATTGTTTTTGCACAAATAAGCTCTCGTCTTTGTCCTACTAATTAGTACTCAATGGGGGGGGGGGGTGTAAGTTTGTGCTGGATTCCAAGGGGCAAATATGTTCCTTACCGAGGGCCGAGTCTGGATAATGATGAGGTTGAACTCAACTCAATATTCTGAGCTCGGTGGAATAGTAAAATATTATTTTCGAACTTGGATTGAAATATAATTGGCCTATTTGATCTTGATTTCAATTAAGCTTGATCATCTTTTCACTGAATTATTCATGTTCAGTTAAACTTGTTTGTATTTGAGTTCGAACTTGAATTGTTTTTTTGTATATAAAATAAGGGTATAAAATTTAATAATATAAAATATTTAATATATATGGTTTAAATGTACCTTTTCCTTTTAAATTATACATTTTGTACCGAATTGTTGCTCAAGTATTTTTTTGGACATTTTATCGTTTGACGTTGAAATTGATTTCTTATTTGCCTTAAATTATTAACTTTATTAATAAAAAAAATTAGTGACCAATCAAAATATGTCATGTCATCACTTAATTTTATTTTTTTATCTAAATAAATAAAAATCAATTGAAAGGGACTTCTCCAAGGCAAAACACAAAATGTTTCAACCATCCCCATACCCAAATCCCAGACAAAGTAGCAATAACAAGCAAATCAAATATAAAAACAGCCCAAACACGTTTCCTCCTTGTTTGCTGATCCATTTGCGTATCCCCATATAAACCACCACCATTACTTCTATGCATAGAAACTGGAATCGTCAAACACATCCACCTTATTCCTCCATCCCTTTCCCACAATCTGCATGTTTGGCGTTGCCACCGTGAACCTCCAAAACCACCCCATCTTCTTTTCTTTTTCAAGATCTTCATGGGATAAAAGGAAATAGGCAAAAGGGTCATCGGTTAAGAAGGTGTATGTTCTTTGAAAATGGTATGAGAGAACATTGAATGGAAAGGAGCACTAAACTGGACCAAACTCGATTCAATTATAAATCCGGTCATAGGTGTCGCATTAGATAGTCGGAGCATAGACTTAATCAATTTTAAACTCGAATCAAACATTCTATTAACCAAACATGTATTTACAAAATCGGAGGACTTAATTTTCGTACATAAAAAATATAATTACTAAATTTTCATTTCATGACATTTAGGAGGCTTACTCATATCATTTTCTACATTTGGGTATGAAAACCCTATATGGGTACAGAACCCATGCATTGAGTTTCAAAACTCAAATGTTAGTATTGAAACCCTATAATGATACTAACCACATCTTCAACATTCAACCAACACTAACACATGCATTTCTTCCCAACAAGCAACTCATAAACACAATTTTCACATTACACCCATGATTCATACATATCATAAGTCCATAACTACCTAAGGTACAATCTAGCGTTATATCTTACTAAACATTTAAGCATTTTCATAACTTTTACATGACAAACTAGGTACCTAACGTATTATAAGCATACTTGTAATACCCCGAAAACAAGTCTATGATTTTTTTTGTCTAATGATAGAAAACAATTCATGGGGGGTTTATTTTATTGTTTAAGCCCTTTGAGTGTGTGTCTAATAGAGATAATTCAGTACTATTGAAGTATGATTTGAATCAGTTTTATATTGAGGATTAAATTGTGAAAAATGAAAGTTCGAGTATTAAAGTGTCACCATTAAAAGTTTAGGTGCTTAAGCCAAAATAAGGGAGAAATGAAAGGATTATTTGCCTGATTAGACCACTAACCTTAATTACTGCACTTTGATGATCTAACTTGCAAGGTGTCACTTTTCCACATTTTCGTCCTAATCTATTTTGATAGATTAGATACAATTGCATAGAAATTTATTAAATAATCAAGAAAACCCTATGGAGAGGGTTCATTTTTCCTTAACCCCACGTGAGAATATATGAAAATATTTCAACTTCTCCTCCACGCCAGAGAACCTCCATTGTTAGATAGCTTTAAAAGCTTTTGAGCAGAACCCCTAAAATTTCTCTAAATTAATGATCCAAACATCAAATTGAAGGTGGATTTTGAAAGCCTAATCTATTATCTTTTTGTTTTTGGTCATTCATTCATTTCATCATCTCTAAATAGTGTAAGTGAAACTTTAAATTCATTTAAGGACCCATGTTGCATAATAACTTAGATGATGAATTTTACTTTGAATATATGTTTTGATTTTGTTAGAAAAATAGGATATGATGGAAACCTCTAAAGTTGAAGGAAAATCTAAATCATCTAATGAATCTATTGATCCTTAGCATTTTGAAAAGTACAATTTAAATGAGTGAAGTTATAATTGAGTTTTTGTTATTTTGAATATGTGCAAGATTTTAGTCAGTTGAAATGCGCATATGGGTCATTTACCTATTTTTAGTAAGTTGAACCAGAAGCTCTTACCAATCAATAGCTTTGAGGTACGATGGTCCCGAAACACTGAAATTTGCACGACCAGAGTCCATTTACCTATTTTTAAGAACATGGAAAGAAGTAATCAGAATTGCATATGGGTCACGCTAGGCCGGTCCGTTGCTCAAAATCTTCATTTTCTTTGTTTAGGTTTGTTCTTAGTCTTGCTCGATCTCGACTTAATGTCCATGTCTATCCTTCCATTGTTTATCTAATAGTGATATGTTACCTACTACCTTAGGGTGAGACTCGGATACTTGTATACAAAACCCGAGTACATGTCAAAATATCGACAGTTAAAGAAAAATGAAAGTTGGGGTAACTTACAATATTGATTCTACCATGTATTGAAGCAGTTTCCTAATGTGCAGCAGCAAGTAAAAGCTTAAGAGCTCCTATTTGTATCCTCTTTTCTGATATTTCAAATAAAGAGAAATTTTATCTAACACAGATTAATGGGTAAAGAAGCATACCTTTGGGCTAATTGTTAAGAGCTTCCAAGCTTTTGTTTCTTCGAGCAAAGAGGTGAAGCTAGAGAAATTTGCAGAAGAAATTCTATAGCACGAGCACCAATCATGATGGCGTGAAATTAACGAACACATGAGAATATTTCATTATGATATTTCCAACAGCAAAAGGGAAAAACAAGATAAAGTTAGAATATGGTACACAATGCTTATCCAATAAAAAAGAACACGCATCTGCATTCCGTTTCATTAACGGTACACAATACATTACTTTTTTTATTTCAGAATCAATGAAAGAATATTTTCAACGAAAAACTAGAACGAAGGCGAAGTGAGAGACCAAAGAAAGGGGCCAACATGACCAGGCATGAGTGTCGAGGCTATCAAAGTTCCTCTGCGATTAACCCCTAACATGCTCGATGTAGATATGATGTTTCAAGAGCAGGACTCCTTCGAGCTCCAACGGATTCATTTACACTATGAAGACAATCAGTGTATGTCTTCGTGGTAAAGCGGAACAGGAAGTCAATTACAATAACCCGGAGTTCTTGCACCAAAGTCAGGGATGTAACTTTTCATTATGTAGCGTTCTTAGAAGTAACTTCTTATCCTCTATTCCTCTACATAAGGATTGTACTCATGTACTTCTGACAGACCAATAAAAGCATTATCCCACCACTGGTGAATTCCGTGAGCATGTTTGAAATTCGGTGAGTGACGCAAATTAATAGTAAGATGAGCTGAAGGAATCAGATGCAGTGGTTCTAAATCCCTTTTCTCTGAGCATGAGAGTAAACTCACGATGGAATACTGTGTTGCAATCTTCTCAATATTTCCGGCCCCAATCTCCTCCATGTGCTTCCTATGTTCAAAATAGCCAATATACCCTGAGCATATTAGATCTGCAGGATTCACAAACAGGTATGGTTTCCAAGCAGAGAGAAAACTAAATAGATCATCATTCTCATGCCTATGATTGCGACCTTTTATAGCAACAGTGATTCCAGCTTTGACTATACTGCTTGTAAAGCGAATCCCATGCTTCAGCTTTTCGCTCTTGATTCCTTCTATATGAGCAGACAAGAATGGGGGATTGAAGAGGTAAGCTTCAACCTTGTAACCCATCTTAGTCATATTTTTACCTATAAGCAATGAAATAGCTGATCCTAGTGAATGGCCAGTTAACCAAATTCTTGAATTTCCAGCTAACACAAAGATACCCTCCACAGCCTGCATTGCTTGATGAAAACGAGAGCTTTCATGAAGTCTATTACGGACGCACAGGAAATCCAACTTCAGATCACGAGACCTGGTGTTTGACTTATTTGTAGTAACCCGAAAGGCAATAACATAATGTGGATAATCTTGGGCTGAATGGTTGTGGTTGAAGTCAGAAAAATTGAATTCATAAATGGCACCAAATATGGAGTTATCAACATCATCTACAAGAATATGGACCAACTGGAAATTGAAGAACTCCCACCAAGGTGGTACGTGAGCTACAGTGTCAATGCGATTCTCTTGGCGATCACGTTCTAGAATGTACACTCCCTGAACCAAGCTTGCAGCAACAGTTCTTCGGCCATGAAAATTATTCCTACAAAAGTACCACAAATAAGCCCTAAACATTTACAGTAAAAATGCTTGAACGATCTCATCAAAGAAAGGAGGGGGGGGGGGGGCTTAAACATAAAAATTCTCTTCTCAAAAGGTACAATTATGAACTGATAAAGGAAACTACCACGTTATCCGGATTATATTAAAACTACATGTTCTCACAGATTGCAGCTTTCGCTGCTAACTTCACTGAATTTGGGCCTCAGAGTTCTCAGCACAAACAAATCTTCTGTATTTTGATCTTACTTGGAGAAATTAGAATTATCTATTGGTCATACTATTTCATTATAATTTTCTCAACAACAGTTCCGATTCATCGAGACAAAGGAGATTTAGCTCGGGATTAACTACAATTAGACATGTACTAGATTTATGGTATTTCCACTTCATTCTTAGCATCATTAGTTAGTCTGTTAACATCCGAAATCGCTCATTCGTAGAACTCTTATGAATTAATATCCAATTCTATTTGAGATAATCCTACACTTGCAAATCTATGAATTTCCTAAATGCCTCTGGCATATCTTTCAAAGTTGTTCACTCGAGAGAAAAGTTTTAAAAAATGTAAATGCAAATTAAACAAATGAAGGAAAAGGCGTTTACCGGTCAACTGAAGTGATGTGTAAAGGCCCTGAAAGGCAGAAAATTTGTCTGGAAGAGGTCGGCTTCTCTTTCCTCCTTTGTTTCTTGTCGTCCATATATCCTCAACAAAGGCAATGAAATGCTGCAAAGTAGAATAGCAAAATTCCCACGATTCGTCAAATTTGGTAGATATACATGAATTACATAGGTATCATCAAAAATGTTGTTTTCGAATTGTTTTATGTTTTTCTCCTGATCTAAAAAGAAAAAGAAAACTTCAATCTTGATTTCCTTTGATAAGTTTCTGAAAACCCAACATTTGATCCCCTTTTGACGAGTTGCTTTTCCTCTTCTTCTTTTTTCTGGGAAAATTCAAACAAAACCCAGAAAATGAAAATGAAACACACAATTGCCAACTATTGAATCACCAAGACTGACGATTATTCACCATTGAATCATGTAACTCCAAACACTTGGAATGGATATTATTCCAAAAACAAACAAAAGAATTAAAGAAATTAAAAGGAAGTTTACTGGATGCGAAAAAAATGGAGATTTACAAATTGCACGGATTTCCCCCTCTCCTCTTTTAATCCCCTAAAGGAGAAAAAGGGAGAGAGTTGAACAGAGTGGCATTAACAGACAATGTATAATACAACTTAACCATGTTCTGTTGCTTTCACTTTCATTATGATTAATTGACTTAATCCAAAATAAAATTAAGTGTTGAAATTATATATATATATATATATTTTTGGATAAAAAAAAGTTTTCTCAAAGTAGATTTTAATTTTTTTTATTATGTTTATTGTAAATCAATCCATTATTTTCCTAAAGAAATATCATCAATTATTATTTGATATGTAATGTAATTTTAACGTTTTATTTAAAAAAAATATTTTTTTAAATCCTAAATTTCTAAGTTTTCACAAAACCTTTAAAATTCTTAAATTCTTTTTATCTCTCATCATCTATCGTTGTCGAATGTTATCCCACCATTACAACAATAAACAATCCACGAGTCTCTCTCTCATCTCACTCTAACATTGTCAACGCATTATCCGTCGATAGAAGAGCGATGCATTGTCCATGGATTTTGTACGTTTCAACTATAAGGTATATTATTATAGATTCTTGTAACATCTGTATTAATATCAAAATAATTTTAATATTATAAATAATGTGTGGCATCTATTGATTTATTACTTTAATCTCTTTTCTATTATATCCTTCATTATATTTGTCCTTCCCTTCTTCCTCCGTTGGTAAACATCTTCACCAACAACTCAACCTTATTGATCAAAGGAAAATTCTTAAAATTTTCTTATTGGCCATGTTTAGAGGGGAAAAAAGGTAAAATAGTCGTCTCATGATTTATGTCTTATATTGATTATGAACATAGTTTTGAAAGATATATTTGATCAAGGAAAATGATAAAATTATCTATAGGATGTGATTTGTAGATCTATTTATTTTGATAGGTATAAAAAATGAGATATATAAGGGTAAAAAATGAAATATAAGTGATGTTTTTTGTTGACTTTTCTAATATAACATTTTAAATGAGACAACTTTGAAAATCAAAAGACACTAAAATAGTGAAAAAAATCAATTAGCTATCCTAAAATAGTGGTCAGTTTCATATGCTTCATTGAAAGATAAAAAAAGAGTGTCCTTTCATTACTTGAGTAGACTCTCATTTTTGTCCGGGTCGAAAAAATAATATTAAATATATTATTATTATTATTATTATTATTATTATTATTATTATTATTATTTGTTTTTACACATAATATGTGTTTACTTTTGTAAGCCACATACCCCAAACCACACAAATCCACCGAAAACAATCAAATTCCCAAAGTAAAAAAGAAACATAAATCTGATCCCACACCCCATTTGATATCAATCATAAATCAAGGGGATTCGGTGGAAAATGAACTAAAGCAAAAGGAAAAAAGAAAAGCAAGCAAGAAGACAAAGAAAAAAAGTAGAAAATGACATTCGGTGATGATTGAAAACAAAAAGAAAAAATTTATTTAAAGGGAGTTTCGAACATAACCAAAAAAGGGGGAGAGGACATTCGAAAACTACAACAAAATTAAAAGAAATTAAGAGTGAAAACAAAGGAGAATAAACAATCCCTTTTCCTCTCTACTCCGACGTCGGTGTACGGCGGCGGCGGCTGCCACGGTGGAGCTCCACAGGACATGAGCTTCGGTTGAAACTCTAGAGAGAATTCTGTCCCTTTCTCTATTTCTCTCTCTTATGCTAAAGTGAGAAATGAAAAATTGAGCCAAGAAAGCCCTATTTTTTGGGCTTATATACGCCAACTAAAACGGCGTCATTTTGCTCAGGGGCTTTCTCCGTGTTTTCTCATTAAGGGGAAATAACATTTCAAGTCCCTCAAATTTGTAATTTATCTATTTCAGTCATTAATGAAAGTTTGATTTTGAGCATTTTTTTATGATTGTTGCAATTTGGTCCTTATTAGTTTTCAAACACGTGTATGTATATATTTATTCTGAGGTCATTATATTTTAATGTTATTTGTACTTAACCAGTCTATTTTATTATTTATTTCATTTTAGTCATATTTGGTATTTAATAGAGTATTTACATTTCTGGTGCCTGTATTATTTAATATTTACTATCTGGATTCTAGTCTATTTGTAATTAATATTCTGATCCTTTAAATTTCATTTTTTTACTTTAGTCTCTTAAGTTTCAGTTTTTTCTATTGTTGTCCTTTAAATGTTTGTTCTTTGCTATTTAGCCTCTTAAGTCTATGTTTGTGTTATTTTGGTCTTTTAAATTTATGTTGTTTCATTTTAGCTTATTTTATTTTTTTGAAAAATGTGAAATAATATCTTTTGTGAGGGGAATCTATGAGAAAGTCTCCTAACTATAAAGGAAGTGCTTTCTTGAGGATTGTTCACACTTATTTAAATAAATTCGAATGAATAAAAGGATTTTAATTTAAATATATTTTTGAGTTTGTAATTTCCAATATTTAAACAATATATAATCATTTAGGTACCAAAATTTGGGCGTTGTGGGGGTGTTAATCCTTACCCACGCATAACCGACTCCTGAATCCATTTAATCGAATCTTTGGTGACGCAGACCAGCTTTTTGTCTTAAAAACGTTTTTTCTTAAAATTGTTTCTTAAAAGAAGTTTTAGGTATTCGACCTACCTAATCCAAAGGTCGATGGCGGCTCCTTTCAATTTAATTCCAAATAAATTCCAAATCACCAATTTTTCCAAAATTAAAATCGTAACTATTTTTTTTAAAAGAATAAATAAGTATTTTGTAAAAAAAAATGGTTATGACAGCTTGTCGACTCTGCTGTGGACTTCAAGAGTCAGGCCATGAACAATTATACGTTGTTTTGTATTTGGGAATTACAAACTTAAATTGTATTTAATTTTCGATCATTTTATTTATTGTGGGTTTCGACATATCATGCATTATCCTACTTTTAACACACAACACGTTCATTTGCATATCATAAACTCACTTACGAGCGTCGTCCCTTTTAAGTTAAGATGAAAGCTTAGCCTACGTGAGATAATTTGTTTCTCCGCATGAGTTTTAGTAAGTAATCTTTGGGGTTCATATACCTTTTCTACGTTAGATAAATTGTTTCTTCGCATGGACATAAGGGAATGTATCCTCTCAAATTGAACTCGATCCGCATGAACCTATAATGGGCCAGGATTGAGGGTTTGGTAGCCCAATGGGGCACCGACATTAAGGACAATTCGAGTACCCTTTTCCTGTTAGCGCAAAAACCCTGTATATAGTGAGCCTTAGAACATTCACTATAGATATAGTCACGCCGAACCTCTATCTGTCGGTAGGTACCCAAATTAAGAGAACACAAAGGAGAAGCGTTTATAAACCTTACCTTTTGTTTTAAGTTCGTAGAATATATTTTCTTTTCGGACAAAAGCATGCGAACTATATACCATGCGGTTATGATTAATTTCTTGAAAATAATCATTTTTGGGTAGAAAACATGTTTGGGTAGGATCGGTATGTAATAAAAGCATGCTCGGGTAGATATCATGATTGGGTAGGTGTTATATTTATCTTTAAATAGCATCTTTTAATTTTAATGATTATTTTGCCCACATTAACTTATCTTGTTTCTTTTGCTTGTGTCATTTTTCGTCCCTTGTTGCATTACATTTCATAGGATCATCAATTTTGCATTTGTATTTGCATCTTCGTATTCTGCATGATGCATTGCATTTTAGAGGATTATCACTTTTGCATCTGCATTTGCAACTTCACATTCTGCATGATCATTATAAATAAAAGAAAGGTGTTGATTAACCAAGTAATCATCATATTAGAAGAGTGACCATTAAAATGGAAAAGAGTTTTCATAACAAGGAATAACTCAATACGGCGGATCGAGCTTAGTATGAAGAAGCACAAAAGGCTAAAGGAGATAGTTTGCCTGGGGATTATGTATCACAGATGTCCACAGATGTCAACATCAGTTTCAAACAGAATGATCTACAAGAGTTTATAGAGATTTGGGAAGTAGCTACCAAAGAAATTTCACAATAAATATGGTGACATGGTCTATCTCCTCTGTGTAAAGATAGATGAACCTTTGCTTAAAGCTCTGGTCCGATATCAAAATTCCGGATACAACTTCTCACTTTCAAAAGACAAGATTTGACACAAACAATAGAAGAGTGATGCTCTATTTAACTTCAAAAGCCTCCAGGTGGATATAATTCATTCCAGACTTCCGAAAGTCCAAGCCTTCAAAAGCAAGCTTGTGATGATTACAAGTAAAGTTGAAGATTGGATAGAAGAGCACATCCAACAAAAGCGAGTGTTTTTCTGTGACATTGTCTCAAGAAGATTGTTTTTGACAAGTTGGAGAGAGGTATAAATCTTGCACCGGTTGTCTTGACAGAGACCTTCCGATCCTTAAATAATTGTCGTAGATTGGAGGAAAATTGATACAGAGGTTGCACTTAACTACGCACAGTCTTGATTCAGAGTCGTTTCTGGAATGAAGAGAAAGTTATTAGGGTCATGACTGAGATCATAGAGCTAAAGAAAAGGGCCAAATTGCATTCGTAGATTGATCTCTCTTGTAAAGATGAAAGCTCTTTCGGAGGAATGAAACTCTTTCTAAGAATTGTTACTTTTGGAAATCGATACCTTTTGCATTTGTACTCTGCATGGCATTCATGCATCATTTATAAAAACATGTAATTAATATGTGGAGGATTTGATGAAGTGGTCCTAACCACATGATACCACATGGAAGCAAGAAGCTGAAATCAGTACAGTTGGAGCTTGTTCAGCTGGTTATAGGACTGAGCCTTCCAGAATGATCTGAGAAGAAAAAAGGTCCCCATATCCCGAGAGCTACAATGTTGATCTCGTGTACAGTTACCACATAGGAAGCTCCATACATTCCTCTGAGAACTATAAGGAACTAAAGCGCAAGATCCAAAACCTGATGAATTCAGAGGCATGAACAATCAAAAGAGGATGAGGCATGGTATCTACCACATTGCATTGAGAGAACTGTGTTGTTTGAAATAATTTTTTGTTCAGTCTTTTATATTTTTTTAATCATTTCAACGATTGAACTTATGATACCTTCTAAGGTTGAATAATTGAGCGATTTTTTAAATCTTTAGTTCTTTGAATATCAAATGAATTACGGATTCTTTTAATTCTTCAAGAATTATGGATTTTTGACATATGGCAAGATTAGACCTTTCTTATCCTGTCTAAAACAAAAACAAATCTCTTGATTTTTTACCCGAAATAATTCATGGTCACTACCGAATGACCACATTTTGACATTACTTTTCTTTGAGATTTTGAAATATTGTTTTTATCCTTTTCATAACACAAAAAGTCGTACACATACCATTCTTTGAGCCAATAAAATCACACCAACATTTTTTCTACCAATAAAACCTAGAGACATTGAGTACAAGATGTTCACTTGAACATAAACCTTCATACCAGAATAAACAATGTGGGGCATATCGCATCAATCCAATCCCAATGACGTATAAGGAATTGCTCCCAACACTAGTTGAGAATAACCTGGTGACTTCAGTTCAATCCAAACCAAGAGAGGACCCATATCCTGAAGACCATGATGTTAACGCCATATGCAACTATCGTATTGGGAGCTCAGGGCACATCATTGAGAACTGTGGGGCATTGAAGTGCAATGTCCAAGATATAATCGATGCAGGGGAATTGACGTTCAATGTGTAATGGGGCATTCTGATCGAGAGTTGGTTGGGGCATCCATCAGGATTTTTTATTGCATTCTCATGCATATCATCTTGTTTGAACTTGTTTTCTTCTTATGCTTAAATGTTTGTAAATCACTTGGAGTTCAAACATTTTCAATAAAATGCTTCCTTCCTGGGAAATGAACGATGAGCAAATTTCAATCTTGAAATTCTTTAAATATCATTTTAATTAAAAGCTTTTTAATAATTAATGTTGTAAATCTTTGACAAATGACAAGATTGAACCCTGTAAAACAATGACCCCTTGATCCTACTCCAGAGAAACACCAAAATATATACCCTTCTATTGCAAGGACTGTAACATCCCAAAAAGAGGACTAGTGACCAAAATGCAAATTTTGAAAGTTAGATGGTCATAGTAGAAAAAAGGGAAAAGTTTAAAGATCTAAATGGAATTTTTCCCAAAAAGAATTTATTCCATAAATGGATTTAGTCAGTGACCAAATTATAAGATTTTGTAAAGTTTAGTGACGAAATTATAAACTTTAGAAAAGTTTACGGACCAAAATGGTAATTTTGAAAGGTTACATTTGATTTCAAAAATAAGGAAATAAATATATTATTTTCACATTTTTAAATTTGAAAATAATATTTAAGGATTTAATTCCGTGTTTAGTTTGGACTGTTGGATTAAAGTGACAGAATTGTAAGTTTTGTAAATTACAAGGGTAAAATAGTAAAGTGGGAAAATATTTTGTCTACCTTTGACTATTGGAAGATGATAAGGTTATTGTAACTTGGTATTAATATAAATATAAAGTTCATTAAGGGTAAATTAGTATAGATATTTTAATTTCAAGGGTAAAGTGGTAATTTGACATTTAATGAATTTTATATTCAATATTTAATTAAAAAATATGAAGAAATATCATATGATTTCTTCATCTTCTCCAAAAACAGGCGTGAGCTCCTCCCAATGTAAGAAAGAAATTTTGTTTTCAATTTTTGAGCCAATTCCTTTGGAATTCGAGTTATGTCGTGAGATAGTAAAGTGATTTACGCGAAAAACGCTATCATTTGGTACCAATATTTCTTTCTAATCTTGTTAGATTTCAAAGATCCCAAATCTAAGGGTTTATGTTCATGATAGAATTCATGAAATTGATGATAGGATTTATGAAATTGATGATAAATCTTGATGTTTTAGAGGTTATAGATTCATTTTCAAGCTTGATTTATGGTTAAAACATGTTCAATCCTTCTAGAAATTTATTCTTTGAAAATTTGAACATGATGAATTTGAGTGAGAAAAATAAGTATTCTACAAGCCTTAGAAAATTTGGGGATCATTCTGTAACTTTTGAAAAGTTGGGGGATCAATTCAATAATTTTGGAAAAATTGTGATGACTATATAATTGTTTAATAGTCGATGTACTATGCTGGAAATTGTTGTTTTGGAATTGAAATGAGCATTTAGATGTGAAATATGACCATTTTGGAAGTTTGGAAAGATTGGTGATTAAAGTGCAACATTCACATAGTTAGTGTACCAATACAGTAAGGAAGTGTATCGATACCCCTCTTAAAAGGAAAACTTTCGAATGTAATGTGTATATCGATACATAGGCAGTGTATCGATACACCAGTGAAGGGATGTATCGATACCCTATAGTGTGTACCGATACACTGCAAAGGGAAATGGAATAGATATTTCCTTTATTTTAAGAAATGAAAACTAGAGTATGTTATTGCGAATACTGATATGTATAAATGTATGATTGTGTAGATATTGAGCACAAGCAAGTTCTAAAATGACTGCAAAGTTAAGATCAATCAAAAGGGATAAATCATAGAAGTGGATTTGGATTTATAAAGTGTCAATGTGAGTGCAATTTAATTTGTACTTATGTTATTGAACAAACAATGGCTTGCGATGAGCCAGTGAAGGAGTTACTATGGTAATAAGTGACTCCTAAAATATTATTTGATTTGTGATTGATGGAATTCTTATGTGTGCATGAGTATATGAAAATGGGTATATGTGTCATATGTTATTATATATGGCATGATCTACATGATTACATGTATATGCAATATTTGATATTGAACTACATGAATATATGAAATTATAATACAAGCTATCTGGTATTGACATAAGTGACTATAGGATCACGAACATGTAAGATAAGCTATATGGGGAAGAGTTACAGGCTTAAATGAACATATAATATATGAGTCATATGGTAAAGGTCTATGAAGCTATAAGAAAATGTTATGGGAGCTATGTGATGATAAGTTATGAGAATATATATAGGTAACAAGCTATATGAAATTGAATTAAGTAAATATATGAAACTAGAATATAATTAATGTGATATAAGTGATTATGTAAAACTGTGAGATAAGTTATATATCATTGATATACGGATTATATGAAAGTATGTACATGAATACATGTATAAGATTATATGTTATTCTATGTTCTATGTGATGTATACATGAACATATGTGAACAAGATATGACATATGTGTTTACATGAACACATGAGAAATGATATAAGCTATATGATACAATCTATGTGATTACATACACATGTGACATATGTTATATGAAATGAGATAGATGTTTACACATACATGTGGTATGTGACAGAAGAGAAGGAACATGTGATTATAAAAGAAATGATATGAATACAAGAATGTTATACAATGATCTATGAGATCATATAAGAATGATACAAGTGATATGAATTTTTACAAATAATAATGCCCATGTTACATGATATGAGAGCTAGTGGTATAGTTGGCATGCCAAGAGTCGAGGGTTACCTATGTTCTTCGGGATATATGGGTTGTTTACCTATATTCTTCAAGACATATGGATTGTTTACCTAGGTTCTTCGGGACCTATGGACTGGTCCTTCGGGACATTTATACGAGTTATGGTGACATCATATGTGTGCACAACCTCAGTGTACTCACATACCTTGAGTTCTCAATAATGTACATGGGCCTATAAAAAATATCAAAAGTGTTTGCATTATTATGTGACATTATGTTATTATTGTTTACACTGAATCACATGTGTACATGGGCTAATAAAGAGATAATAATAAATACACTGTATGTGATGTATAGGCTTTGTTATATGAAATATGTTACAAGATTTATATGTGATAATGTGTGTATTGTTGAATGAAATGTATTACATGATAATGATATTGATATTGATAATGATAGAGATCATGATAATGATGATATATGTGCATGTATGCATTCTGTTATATGAAATGTTCTATGGTTTTATTATATGTTTTATATGCCTCACTAAGTCAACGACTTAGCATGTGATTGTTTCACACGTAGGTTCCGAGAAGAAGAAGGATAAAAGTTAAGCAAGATAAGTCAGTTTCTCCTTTCCAAAGATCATATCAGAAAAGAATTAAATAGTATGTATTTTGTAATACTAATTGTGGTTGACATGTAAATAAAGATTTGAATACGATATGCCCTGATCGAGTTTTGGAATGTTTTAAAAGTATTTATATAAATGGTAACTTTATAGTAATGAAAGTTTAAGTTTTTATAAGTTTTATATATGTTTGGCTGAAACTACTGTAGCAGGGTATCGGTACACTGTAGCAGGGTATCGATACCCCTGTAGGGTTCTGGAATTTTTTAGCATCGGTATTATTCATACAGTATCGGTATTATTCATACAGTATAGTATTATTCGTACAGTACTATTCATAAAAATATTTTTGCCTTAAATTTGTTACAATGAAACATAATTCAATAGTATATTATCGTATTTTCTTAATATAAGCCCAAATGTTCTGTTATTTTGTAAGAAAACAAAATGTTTTCTCGCTTGAGATAATATTCTTTCAAAACAAATTTTGTCTCATTTGAGATATAAAAAAAATCTTTGAGTTTGTTTCTTTGGAAACAAAATTTTCTCTCTTTATAGACAGCTTCTTTTAAAGCATCATCTCTGAGTCAGTTTATTTTGAAACCAAAATCCCTTAGATGGCCAAGACTCATGAACAGATGAGCAGTGTCATCACTTGACTAGATCTCCTCATTATATAGGAGTTGTGTCAACTCAGATAACTAGTCGTCCTCATCACGTAGGAACCGTGTTATCACCCTTAGATGGCCAAGACTCATGAACAGATGAGCAGTGCCATCACTTGACCAGATCTCCTCATTATGTATGAGTTGTGTCAACTCAGATAACCAGCCGTCCTCATCACGTAGGAACCGTGTTCTCACCCTTAGATGGCCAAGACTCATGAACAGTTGAGTAGTGTCATCACCTGACCAGATCTCCTCATTATGTAGGAGTCGTGTCAACTCAAATAATCAGTCGTCCTCATCATGTAGGAACCGTGTTATCACCCTTAGATGTCCAAGACTCATGAACAGATGAGCAGCGTCATCACCTGACCAGATCTCTTCATCGCGTAGGAGCCGTGTCAACCCAGATAACCAGTCGTCCTCATCACGTAGGAACTGTGTTATCACCTTTAGATGGTTAGAACTCTTCATCACGTATGAGTCGTGTCATCACTCAACCTGGTCTCCTTGTCATGTAGGCACAATGTCAACCTTTGATAACCAGCCGTCCTCATCGCGTAAGAACCGAGTTATCAACTTCCTAAAGATGGCCAAGAACTCTTCATCACGTATGAACAGTGTCATCCCCTGACCATATCTCTTCATCACGTAGGAGTCGTGTCAACCCTTAGATGACTCGAACTCTTCATCATGTATGAGTAGTGTCGTCCCCCAACAACAAACACCATCAAAATTTAAAACAAAAAAATCGGACAAAAACTAGTTGTCTTTTTCGTCTTTGCCCTATTCTTGTTAACACAAGAATGTGCAAAGAGGGGCAGTTGTACACTCCCATTTTTGTTCGGGTCAAAAAAATAATATTAAATATATTATTATTATTTGTTTTTACTTATAATATGTGTTTACTTTTGCAGGCCACCTACCCCAAACCACACAAATCCACTTAAAGCAATCAAATTCTCAAAGTCAAAAAGAAACATAAATCTTAGCTCACACCCCATTTGATATCAACCATAAATCAAGGGGATTTAGTGGAAAATGAAATAAAGCAAAAGGAAGAAAGAAAAACAAGCAAGAAGAAAAAGAAAAAAGTGGACAATGGCATTCGGTGATGATTGAAAACAAAAGGAAAAATTTTATTTAAGGGGAGTCTCGAACATAACCAAAAAAGGGGGAGAGGATATTCGAAAACTACAAAAAAATTAAAAGAAAATAAGAGAGAAAACAAAGGAGAAGAAATTACCTTTGAGTGATTTCCCCTAGAACGGTCGTCGAAGCCGAAGAAACCGAAAGGTTTCTTTTTAGATCTACTACGTTTGAGCCATTTTCAAGCCAAATGAGACTCGGATCCGAGACTAGGGTGAAGAAGTGCTTAGAACAATCCCCTTTTCTCTCTACTCCGACGTCGACATACGGTGGCGGCCGACAGCCAGTGACGGCTGACACGGTGGAGCTCCACCGGACATGAGCTTCGGTTGAAGCTCTAGAGAGAATTCTCTCCCTTTCTCTCTTTCTCTCTCTCATGCTAAAGTGAGAAATGAAACAATTGAGCCAAGAAAGTCTCGTTTTTGGGCTTATATACGCCAACTAAAACGGCGTCGTTTTGCCCAGGGGCTTTCTCTGTGTTTTCTCGGTAAGGGGAAATAGCATTCCAGGTCCCTCAAATTAGTAATTTATCTATTTCAGTCATTAATGAATGTTTGATTTTGAGCATTTTTTATTATTGTTGCAATTTGTTCCTTATTAGTTTTCAAACACGTGTATGTATATATTTGTTCTGATGTCATTATATTTTAATGTTATTTGTACTTAAGCAGTCTATTTTATTATTTATTTCATTTTAGTCCTATTTGTTATTTAATGGAGTATTTACATTTCTGGTGCATGTATTATTTAATATTTACTATATGGATTCTAGTTTATTTGTAATTACTATTCTGATCCTTTAAATTTCTTTTTATTTATTTTAGTCTCTTAAGTTTTAGTTTTTGATGTTGTAGTCCTTTAAATGTCTGTTCTTTGCTGTTTAGCCTCTTAAGTCTATGTTTGTGCTATTTTGGTCTTTCAAATTTCTGTGTTTCATTTTAGTTTATTTTATTTTTGTGAAAAATGTGAAATAATATCTGTTGTGAGGGGAATCTACGAGAAAGTCTCCTAACTATAAAGGAAGTGATTTCTTGAGGATTATTCACACTTATTTAAATAAATTCAAATGAATAAAATGATCTTAATTTAAATATATTTTCGAGTTTGTAATTCCCAATATTTAAACATTATATAATCATTTAGGTATCAAAATTTGGGCTATGTGGTGATGCTAATAATTCCTCATGCGTAACCGACTCCAAAATCCATTTTTTTGTAAAAAAATGATTATGACAACTTGATTAGAGGATGTAATCTAATCTAAAAATGTTATCGAGCTATCTTATTGGTTAAAAGGATAACTGTTGTTCTTAGAGATACCAACATCTACAAAGGTATTTGAGGCTTCATTGTCAAATAATTTAAAATCTTTAGAACAAATACTACCTTGCAATCACTTCTATTTAATGAACAAATCATTACTTTAAGAGAAATAATAACAATAATTGTTCATAAATTTATTATTATTTTGTTTACTTATTTCATACCACCATTTAGAAGTAATCAAACTGTTAATTATCATTATTACATGACAAAAAAAAACTACCTATTTGTGATTAATCTATGTATAGACCATGCATGCAATTCTTAATGTGGAAATGGAATTTAACAACATATACAAATCGTTCATACTCTTTCTCTTCTATTCTCTAATCCATAGAGGTCAAAATGGAAATTCTCCCGAGGGAAAAGTTCGCCGTAGCAGACGAGATCATTCAATCCCGTTGATGAAAAGAGATGCAGACGGAGAGAGAAAGCTGAGCCTGTTGGCATTGGGACCGCTTCAGCCGGGTTCCACTGCTGCCGCACAGCGTCCTAACCGCCTCCGACTCATCAGGGCACAGAAACGAGACCAAGCACTCCGCTAGGGCTCGGTTCAAGTGCCGACAGGCCACATCCCATGTCGCACCCGGTCTGAATCGTTGGTGACACTCGCTTAGCGCCCTCTGGAACTTCTCGCACCCTGTTTGATAGCCGCCGGCTACTTCCATCTTTACTGTCTAAACCTGTGCCACGATTTTGTAACCTTTCATAATCGGGGGGACACATCAAAAAAGCGTCCTATAACCCAGGGATTAATATCAGAAATTAAATTATGATACAAAGTTTCTGCAGGAAGCCGAATTCATTAGACTAGTTGCAGTTTCACATCCTACAAACCTAGTCCAAACCAAGTTTTTGAGCCGTAAAATTCATCCCACGGCCACAACAGATTATTTAAGTCGAGAACACTGGAGATATAAAACACAAAGCCTACCAGCTACTTCGAGCATTCTTAATATTAGATGAGACTATAAGCTCATTTCAGTACCAAAGAAGAAAAATCAAGTTCCTTTATAATTACCCGTGCACACAACTGAACCAAGAAAAGAAATGAAAAAGGAAATCTTTTGAATGGTTAAAGCTAAATCATTTTCTACAAAGAAAAAGGTGAAATATTTTCATTTTCTCTTTCATAATGGCAATAAGAAAAGACAACTTTTTTAATCATCTGGTAACAAGCACCCCAGTTTTCACTAGCAGAAGAATCATAGAAACCAATCATTCATATAGATATTACTCTAAATTTGACTAGTAATACTTAATTCATTCACTATTATTGATTCAAAAGTACTAAAGGCAAGGCTCCAAAGGCATTTTCATTGGAAATCTTGTTGATCTATGTAATAAAATTGAGGCTTTAACATTGCATTACAACTAAAGAAACTCTAGAAGGAGAAGTCCAATTCCCGAATGAAAAAAAAATTGAAAACCAGATGTAATCTACATGCATAAAACCCCATTAGCACAAAAATAAGCACATTGGTATAGGAGAAATTTAGCTTAGATTTTTAGACTATTTCAATATGTTGTTAAGAAGTTACTAAATCATTTCTGTTTTGTTTTGAAACCAAGGTATCCGCAGCTGATAGCAGTGACGAATCCCCTCGCCACAGATGTTCTCACTAAGAAGTAAAAGAAGCAGAAAACATGATAACTGACAACTCATATTAGCAATACAATTACTAAGATTAATAACATAATTTAAGAATCAATGCAGGCAGATGCAGGGCTCTGTTGTTGATGGATTATGAGCGGTGAGTGATGCAGCAATTTGGTAGTGAAGATGAACTAACAACTCATATTAGCAATACAATTACTAAGATTATCATCAGAATAAATGGGGAACCTGACTCAGTTTTACGTTCATGCTAGCTAGCATTAGCATTAACAAGCTACCTCATTCCTAGAATAAAACTGAAATAAATAAAAAGAAGGCCTTTATAAATATATATATATATATATATATAAAAGAGACATCAATGATAAAAGAGACTGTTGTTCTCTCTTAAAGATCTAGGTTCGAGCAGGTGTGTTTTTGCAAGATATGTGCATCAGCAATGGCTAAGAAAGATTTTGAATAGATACTACCTTCTAATCATTCTAGACTATTCAATGTGTATATATAAGCGTAAATAATTTGTGTTTGGTACTATTTCACAAGATTAGAGAGGATCAATGGCAGACCACTATAGCCTCTATTCACATGGGCCATCAAAAAAACAACAAGAGCAAAGAAAACACAGAAACACCAATCATCAACAGTAGAATTTACAGAGCATAACCTCAATATATCTATTACAAATTTAAAAAGCACCCACAAAAAACATTGAAATTGTTGAAGAACTAACCCTTAGAGGTAAGAGATGAAGGTTGTAGCAACAATAGACGGTGTACGAATCATCAAAGAACAACAGCAGTGGACTAATCGACAGGGATAACAGCAACAAGAATATAAACCATTGCAGCGGCTAGGGTCCCAAATGGTGAAAGAAAATAAGGATTTTGTCTGCAAATAAATTTGAGTAAACCGCTAAAACGGTCACCAAAGTATGAATACGTTTCTATTTTCTCTACTAATGTTTGAAAGTTAATAATTTGATCACTAATATTTTCATTCTTTAACAAATCGATCACGCGATCCTTAAAATCGTTACATCAATAACTAAACATTGACGTGACACGTTAACTCAATAATCTAATCGTTATCTACCACCTCTATTCTTATTGACAAACTCAAGTAAACCTCCTTCCCCACCCCTTATTTTACCACAATGTTTATCTCATCTTTTCTTTTATTGTTCTTTTCATCTTGTCCTTTCTTTTTAAGCACGAATGCACTCAACCTCTGAAAAAAAAAGTGTATTTCTATTAATTTAAAAAATATTAAAATTTTAATTTATCAAGGGAAGAAAATATGAAAATCTACGTACTTATTTTTTTCAATGTATTAAAATTTTAGACTTTATTTTTAAAATTTTTAGATCCGTCATTACTTTTCTCCCTTAAAATGTTTCTCTTCGTACTTCTCCCCATGTCTTTCATAATCATAGATTTCTTGTATCTTCCCATGGATTTTGTGCACATCTTTCTATCATTTCATATGGAAAAGTATAATTAATTATACTTTACCCCTCTTTTTATGATTAATTATACTTTGCCCCTTGAGTTGGTATGTGGCTCCATCCTTGAGTGTGTTGATATAAAATGATAAAGATGTGAAAAGAGGGGTAAAGAATAATTAACCATAGAAAATGAGGGGTAAAATAAAAACAATGATTCCTTAAATATATGATATATTATACTAAACTCCGCTGATAATGAAAATTTGTCAAGTTTCACACGTTCGAGGATGATCGAAGTGATGATGAAGAATTTAGTCATGCATGATTATGGAAAAATGCAAAACAAGATGTGGATATGATGGAAAAAGACCATGAGGTCAAATGGTACGATGAATGGTAAAAAATTACACTACAACAAAACAGGTTTTTAGCGGTATTTTTTTAGTCATATAGTAGGATTTATAAGCTTCACCGGAAATCCTTCTAGAGCAAAAACAAACGTCGCAAAAAGCACCGCTAAAACAAACGCTGCAAACTTTTGCGGCGTTTGTGAACATCAAAAGCTGCTAAAAGTTATACTTTTTAGCGACGTTTAAGTAAACACTGCTATTTATCTTTTCTCTAGTGACATTTATTCCCAAATACGACGCTAAATATTTTGACACATAGTGTCGTTTGTGAATGTAAAACGCCACTATTGACTACATATATAGTAACATTTTCTATATAAGCGCCGCAAAAGATATTGAACTTTAGTGGCGTTTTGTTTTACAGACGCCGGTATTGATTATGTATTAAGTGGTGTTTTATTATACAAACGCCGCTAATTAAAATTGATTTTTCAAATGTTGTTTCTTCTCTTTTATTACCCGAATTTGAAATTTTAACATGTAGCATTATCCAATAAACTTGAAATCCATAACAACAAACTTGAATTCCATAATAATAAATCAAAGTTTACATCAAAGTGAAATATAATTACGACACAAATTATATAGAAAAATACGTACTTAGCAAGAAAATAAATTAAAGTTTACATTAAAATTACATATAATTTACTTTAACATTGTTCACTAGAATTTAGCCTAGGTTCTTTCTCTTTCAATTAAAAAACATTGTTCACTAAAATAAATAGAAAGAAAAACATTCTTCTAACTTGCATGCACAAGTTTGAGTGATTTAACCTCCTCTTCTGACTTGCATGCAGTGATTCTAACCTTGTAGTTGTTGATACATCCATTATCGAACAGGCCAGTGGTGATCAACTGATTCTACCCTACTTCGTCCCTGTAAATACACTTATTAGTGTCGCGATGAGATAGTAGATAATGAGAAAAAATTATCAGATTTTTTATTCCATAATACTCATATGTGTAAAGATCTACCAGAAGAACATGAAACAAAACAAAGACGTGTCTCTCATTCTTACACAATTTCAGAACAGCTCAAACCAACAATGAATCCAAAGATTGCTTAAGAAAGAATGAGAAAAATTGGAATGAATAAACATGGATCACATCAGGCCACTTTAGTATCAAATTGAGAGTTTGACTATAGTTAGGGTTCCCAATCAGCAATTACTTAAACAAATTATACATTCACCAAAAAGATGCTGGAAAATATACCTTGGAGCATGTAAACCCTTGATCAAGAAAATCATCACATGGAAGCATGTCCTCTCTACTCATCTAATGCTTGCTGGTTTTAGCATCATTCTTTCCCACAAGATCTCTTGTTCTAAATGTGTGATTGAGCTGTATGATATAATATTTAAACAACCAAAGGAGCAACGCAAACTGAATTCATCGAAGCAGAGAAGGAGCTATACAATTTAAATGCCTATATACTACAATGACATGTGCCAAGAATTGCAGAAAACTCAAACTACAAAGCACAACTAATATTTAAACACCAAACAATTCATTACTTTATTTGCACCAAACAATTCATTACTTATATTTAAACACCAAAAAATTCATTACTTTATTTTTCTGCCATTGTTAACGCTATAATTTTTGAGTCGTATGATATAATATTTAAACACCCAAAGATTCTAAAGTAAGTAGGCTCAAAATCAAAGCAAGTGTTTCTCAACAACCGCTCTCATACCTGATCTTCTTGGTGCAGGCCACAGTTTTACTAATTGCTCATATTCTTGTTAAGATTTGCCCAAATACCTGGACTCAAAAGCATCAGTCCAATACCTTTCCACCCAGTTTCGTATTATCTAGCTTTTTTACATCTTTCAATCTTTGTTTATTGTATTGAATTTTACATAACCCCAAATATTAACTAAATAGTTTCATCCACAGCTAAACAAATTTCCAGATCGATTTAAAATTAGAAGGGACATCATCTATCCACCAAATCAAATCATAAGCTCTTTTTTTTCAAAATTTAATCCAAAACCCAAGAAAAACAATACGATTAACCGAATATACATCAGTTTTTTTATGCTGCTCTAAATTAACGATTATACTGTTGGGCTTTGTAAGCTTAGCATTCGGATGTTTTTCGTTAGCAGGTTCGTAGCTTGGGCAGTTCGTGGAGCAATATCGTAGAAGGACTTCCAACATCTTCGACAAAGTAATGTACTGTAGCTTCAGCGGGCATATATATTCATAGGACCTTACTCATGTATAGGTGGTTTCCGTTATTTCTTCCTCGTTTACAATAAAATTTAGCCTTAAAATCATTCAAGTTTTAAGTGACTCTCCTACTATCTAAAAGGTTGACTTTGATGAGAGTGAAACTGAGTTTGACGTGAATGATCTGTTGTTGCTCCATTTTGAACTACAGAATTTACTTTGATAATCTGAAGAATAAAATTTACTCAATGATAAAATTTACAAGCTCTGGATCATTTTCCATTTGCTCATCTCTAAACTAGTTAAAACTCAGAAGATATAGTACATATGTGATCAATGACAAATTTAAAAATATTTTTAAAAGGAAACATATATATATATATATATATATATATATATATTACTAATATATTTTTTTATATATGGGTTAGACACATATAATTTTAGGAAAAGTACAAATATAATTTCAAAATTAATAGAATCAATAAAATAAATAATTAGAAAATTAAATTTAAGATAAATACATAATTACCCTGAATACCATGTACCATGTGCATGCAATACTCGTTCAACCGATCTAAATAATTCTGACGTTTCCATAAAAAATTAGTTCTCAATAATTTAAGGGTAAAAAGTTTCAATTACTTATTTGGGAAAAAATTAAAGGTAAAAGAATATTTAATAACCTAACTGGTCATTCAATATACCGAGAATTTGTTATCCATTTCTTCTTTACTTTTAGTCTACAATTCTTAAGATGCCCGATCTTCAGTTGTAAAGTTTACTTTCCTTGTGGATATGGTTTTTATTTTTTTTAGGTTTATCAGATAGCTATGGATAGGGCTATAAATGAGACGAGACAGATCGCGAGCTACTCGAGATCGACTCGATCAAGGCTCGATAAATACTCGAATCGAATGGACTCGACTCGAGCTCGACTCGAGTTCTTAACGACCCTAAACGAGCTACTCGATATTCAACTCAAAAAGCTCGTGAGCAGCTCGAAAAAATGTTATATTATAATTTTAGATTTTTTAAAATTACATTATTAAAAATATATTAAAAATGCACTATTGATAATTATAAAAATTTAAAAATATATTAAAAAATATATAATACAACTACCCTCAAATTTTAATTAATGTTCTTGTAATGAACCCTAAACCCTAAATCCTAAATCATAAACCATAAACCCTAAATTATATTTACCTCATAAATCAATACAAAATCGATTAATTAATGTCTTTGTAATAGACCCTAAACCCTAAACCATAAACTATAAACCCTAAAACCTAAATCCGATTATGTGATAGAGGTTAAGTTATGCATATGAAGGTAACATACAAATTATGCAAAATGATGTTATGTGACTCCTAAATCATAAACCATAAACCATAAACCCTAAATTGTACTTACCTCATAAATTAGTACCAAGTCGGTTAATTAATGTCTTTATAATAAACCCTAAATCCTACACCATAAGCCCTAAACCCTAAACCCTAAATCCGATTATGTGATAGAGGTTAAGTTATGCACATGAATGTAATATACAAATTATGCAAAATGATGTTATGTGACTCCTAAATAAATCAATCGCATACTTATACATAAACATATCAACATGCAAAAATAAATATACACAACTAATTAAAGAAAACAATCCTAAACAGGGACTAAATCAAGAGAAATCTAAATGTAAGGACTAATTTAAGCTAAATATACTAACTTTAGAATGATGATTAAATTCACGTAAATGTAAAATTAAACTTACAAAATTAGAATTAAACCAATGACGTAAATACAAAATGCGCATAAATTATAGGGTCTTATATGCAATTGATCATATTCGGTTTAAGCTAAAATAATATGGGAAATAACATAAATTACACCTGAACATTTAAAACAAATAAGAAAATTTAAACAAATGTGATTGAAATACAAACTTAATTCTCTTTTCTTCATTTTCATGAAGGGATGTCAGCTTCATATCTTTTAGAAAGCCCTGGAACCAATAACTATACCACTAACTTGCCAACTTCTGACATGAACGAGTGAGAATTTTCCTCTCTTGTTTGAAACTATGGTTTCGTTGCTAGGATTTCAAATCTTAAGCAACTTGATGTGAATGAGTTTTACGTGCAGGGGTTATGAGGTGAGGGAGGCATTAAGGGCACAGATGTAAGTACCGAGTAAATTACATTTTCAAGTTGAGGTAATCTTTTTCTTCCTTTTGTAGTTATTTCCTTGATATGAATGTAGCTATGAAGTAACTAAAAGTGTTGCAACGCATATTGAATGTTTCTGGAGTCTTGTGCAATTCCATAGTTTCTCTGATCTGGAGAAACTTGTTATGAGGCCCATATAATTGATTGATTGTATGAAAACCCTACTCAATATGTTTGATAGAACCCTCCAGATCATAGTGTGAAGACCATCATCAAGCTGGCTAATGTTATTATGTGTCCTATTTAGGCTGAAAAACACTTGCAGATTTGCTAGGATGCTGAACAAATATATATGGCCATGCTTGAGAAAGCTTGTAAGATGCTTGCTGATCATTTTATCGGAAGTGTTGAAGTTATCAAAACAGATAACCTGGACGTTGGTAATAAGATGCTGAGAAATTATTCAGTGGATCCACTAGGATTTTAATGCCCAATTTGCTGAGGTCGTGAACGCATGTGGCCAAGAAGAAGAAATGCCAACCGGTCTGCTTTCTCAGAGGGCTGATGGTTCTACCGAAAGCTGCCTTACTTCACAGGAGAGTCCAGGAGGATTGACAATGGAAGGATTCTCCTGTTGGAGGGAAGAAAAAGATGCTTAACTTGGAGGGAACAACAGGATCTGTGATTTGGAGTGATGCGGTTGAAAAAAGAACACATGGGGAATTGTATGGAGAAGACATTCAGATTAAGGCTGCAGGTGGAAGAAAGAATAAATAGAAGAGATTCGTGAAGCTGCTGAGAAGGAAAACGGAGGAAAAGGCATCATGACGGTGAAGATGGTGCTTACAAAAGAGGAGCTCGAGTTGTTGTTAGTGAAGCTAAAGAATAAGAACGGCAATAATGGCGGGTATCGATTAGGGGGACTTTTGGTTGAAATGGAGAAAGTTAGATCTGTTAAAGTGGAGTGTTGTTGGAGGCCTTCATTGGAGAGTATCATGGAAGATGAAGAAGACGATGTTATCAGTTCATGAAAGCTTCAATCCATCTTTTTGTAAACTATTATTATACCGTTTTACTTAGCTAACTTTTTTTGTTCTGGATCTTCGGGTTAGTGAGTGATGAATCGAGTTAGGCCTTAGGAGTTTTTGGTTTTGAAAATAGATTACTATCTCTTTCTCCTTTTTACTACAACCTTGATCTGGAGATGGAGATGGGGATCAGAGTTGAAGGTGGGGTGTGAATTTGGACAACCCCATTGTTGTTGTTGTTGCTGAGTTGTTTGAAAGTAGTTCATATCCCACATCGGTGGTTCTTGGGGAATAAGGAGTAAAGAGAGTTTATAAAAGGGGATGGGTTTCAACAATTGAAAACTAACCCGTCTTTGAGCTTCAAACGAGCTTAAAGTCAAGCTTGAATCGAGCTCAAAATCAAGCTTCAATTGAGCTCGAGTCTCGAGTTTCGGTTGAGCTCTTGAATTATTTTTGAGTTCGAGCCTTTTCGAGTCGAGTTTCAATATTATCTTTCGAGTTTGAGTTGAGTTTGAAAATTTGAGGCTCGCGAGTTTTTGAGTTGAGTTGAGTCGAGCTTACATTTAAAGTTTTCGAGTTTGAGTCGAGCTTGGCGATACTTAAGCTTGACTCGGCTCGTTTACACCCCTAGCTATGGATATGGTTATTCCTATGACAGGTTCATCTTTCGCTACATATTCACACTTATGGTCGTTAGACATTATTTTTTTAAAATTTTCTATACAAAATATTTTTCAAAAATAGTTTTAAATTATTTAATTTAAAATTTACATACTTGATATTATTATTAAAATTGATTTTAAATAAATAAATAAATAAATATTTGTTTTAGATGTTACTCTTAAACAAATAAAAGAACCAGCGACATAAACAATAATATATGAGTAATTTTATTCAGAAGTATTTTGGACAAAAGAAAATTAAAATTTTCTCACTACTTTTCATTTATAAATTATTTTGACTCAAAAACACTTTTAAAAAGCAACGGAAAGAAAAGATAGATGGGGTTATTTGAAATTTGAGTCCTGATTTTGATATCAACTTTAAACTTGCCATCATTAAATGAAGTCATTTTCCATCCAACCAATGAGCTTTTGGAGCGTTTATGATTAATTTAAGATGATTATAAATAGTAGTATGAGTTTTTGGTGTATTAAAATAGATATGAATGTTGAAGTTTTTGTTCGTTTAGTTTTTGTTTATAAATTAAGTACTCGTTCACAATTATTAATTTTATTTTAGAATTTTAATTTAATTTTTATTGGATTGAAATATATTTTTTATTTTAACATATATCACTTTAATCACAAGTCCAAATGTTTGCCAGAAATGGGTTGTCCTTATCTTTTATTGATTTAATAATCTTTTTATTCCCAATCAACATAATGCGTTCTCTTTCAACAATGGTACAGTATTAAAGTACAAAAGACACTTGAGATGTGAAAAAGAAATATCTTCCTATAAATATTCAATTATTGCATTCAAATACGTGCAAATACTAAAGGTGTTCATGTAGTTAGAGGTTGAGAGTTATTATTGAACAAATAATATAATGTATTTACTCTAAATTATTTGAAAAAGAAAAAAAATATTGTATTGATTTCTTTTTGTGTAAATTACCTTTTTATTTACTCTTTTTATTTTTGTCATCGATCTTTTAATTTTGTCAATCAAATCATTTAATTATTTAATTTTATTCAATCAAGCCACTTGCCGTTAATATTTAACGAAAATACTGATGTGACATCTAATAAAATCAATATAATTATACATATAGTCCTCAATATTTATACATTTTATCAAGTTAATCCTAAATTAAATTTAATTCAATAAATTTAATTAACCAATTAGATGGTAACACATGTCACCATTAGATTAAATGTTTTTTATAATTCATGTGTCCATTAGATTAAATGTTTTTTATAATTCAAAATTATTTAATTTATATATTTTAATCTTCCAAGTAAATTGTGACACTTGTCATCATTTGATTAAAGGAAAATCAAGTAACAAATGTAGGAATAAGAACAAATTATTCAAGGATTATATATAACCAACTTAAATTATGCATTTTTAACTAAACAATCTTATAAAATATTAATTAAAATATAGATGATTCACAGTATATTTTTAATAAAAAATAAATTCATTAGTCAAATTAAAAAGATTCAATTTGAAATTATATATAATCCTTGAATTAAAAATGTGAAATAATATTAAATTTATTTTAAAAATATTTAAATTTTAAATTTATTTTTTGTTTTAATATTGTACAACCAGTATTTAATATGTATAAAAATCCACCTATTTAGTCTTAAATGTAAGACTTGTTCTAGTGGTTTAGTTCTAAGTTTTTTTTGGGAAATAATTAAAATATATACAATATTGTGTGAATAAAACACAAGCATAGGGCTTAGCTTGTTGGTATTAGTCGTGCCTAGTAATCTTAATTAACAAGTTCGAGTCCCTCTGGCACCTTTGTTCCCTTTGTATTTGTTATTTGATTTCCTTGTTCGAGTCCCCGTGGCACCTTTGCTCCATCTGTATTTGTTATTTGATTTTCCTTTAACTAGATGAAACCATTTGGGAATGGCAGCATAAGCCAAGGCAACCAGTTTGTATATGAGGACCACAATAAATTGAGGCGTCGAGAAAGTGTATCAAGGTGAACTAGCCCAGGATGTCAGAGTGAAGCGACGAGTGCGTCGCTAGGTTTTTGGGAGAAAATGTCACGGGCCACGGAGTTGAGCTCGGGATATTGGTACAAGTGTTCGACAAAGAGGATGTTCAAGATAGGAGTTTCGGGCTTGCCAAGACCACCAGACTTGCCCATCACTTGGAGAATGTTGTGCAGCCCGTTCACACTAACCATGCAAAAAAATTCATTTTTTTACATCCATTATTAGAATTCTTTCCTTAGATATGTGTTCACATTGGATATGGAAAGATTCTTCCATAATCCTCCTTGATATAACATTGTCCCCTTCCATATTTGTCAAGCTCATGTGAACATCTTTAAATATGATGTCACTTTCCTTTTTTGCACAGCCAGTGTGAACGGGCTCCATAACATTCTACAAGTGATGAGCCAAGTCTGGTGGTCTTGGCAAGCCCGATACTCTATCTTGAACCTCTTTTTCGGACACTTGTACCAATGTCCCGAGCCCAACTTCGCAACCCATGACATTCTCCCCCACCAAACCTCCATTAGTAGAATTTGTTCCTTGTATAAGTGTTCACACTGGATATGGAAAGATTCTTCTATAATCCTTCTTGATATAACATCGTCTCATGCCATATTTGCCAAGCTCATGTGAACATCTTCGAATATGATGTCACGTTCCTTTTTTGCACTGCCAATGTGAACGGGCTCCACAACATTCTCCAAGTGATGGGCCAAGTCTAATGGTCTTGGCAAGCCTGATACTCCATCTTGAACCTCTTTGTCGGACACTAGTACTAATGTCCCGAGCCCAACTCTGTGACCCTTGACATACCTAGCGACGCCCTTGTCGCTATACTCTAACGATCCTGGGCTAGCTCATCTTGGATACTTCTCGAAGCCTCAGCTTGTTATGGTCTTCCCATACGAACTGTTTTCCTTGGCTTCTACCGCCATGTAACTCCACGATCCTTCGCGCCATTCCCCCTATCGCCTTGGTTGTTCGATGCCTCGGTTTCCTCACGTCCCCCTATAAGGACTTGGCCTTCCCATACATGTTGTGCTTTCTTTGGCTCTTACATCCAAGTGATGTCTCATTTGGGTACATCTCTCCCGTAGGAGACTTTTCCTATCAACATTGATTTACCTCTACTTGGACTCACTTATTCTTTTGAAGAAGGCTTGGAATTATCCCTTAAACATTTGGCCACTCTACACGGATTGTTAGGTTTCTTCACACCTATTCTCATCAAAGATTACAAATCAAACTCAGAAACACTACAATTATGTTCGAGATGTACCTCCATTTCTGTTGCATTTACTCTAAAGTGTGTCATCTCTTCTTTCTCCATGAAGTCTGACACTCTATGCATCGATCCTTTATTTATGAAGTTCGGTGCTCTCTTGTTACCCTAGGTCTTATTCCTTGAAGTATGTTTCCTCCTATTGCGTTGGAACTTCTTAATCGAAGTTCTTCGTTCTTTTTCCTTCTTGCCCATTGGTGGTTTCACGGTTGCCTTGTCCTTCTTTGGCTTAGTTTCCTTTGACCCTTCTCCATTGATGGTCTTTTAAGCCATGTTCTTCTTTGGTTGAACATGCTCGATGAGCTCTCCAACCTCCTTGGACATGGTTATCCCTTTCTGCACTAGGCTACCACTCGCCTTGGCAGAAATAAACCTTATCGCACCAAGTCTTGCAGGCTCATTATCCCCGACCTGGTCCTTCCCTCTGGACTGCTTGGTTCTATTTAGGCACATCCGCACCTTGTGAGGCCCTTTGCACTGGTAGCACTTTAACTACTTCCTCTTTACCCTCGGTTTGACGGCTTCAATTGTTATCTCACTGGTTTTCCTGTCATGCTTGACTACTTTGACAACTAAAGTCTCATCACGTTTCGATCTTGGGTTGACTACTTTAACATTCGCACCACATCTTGATGCTCATTCTCCAAACTCATTTATCCCTTTGACAATGACAGCTAGTCAATTCTTTTTGAGCCATCCCCTTATCACATGGGGGACCATCACAAAAGTAACATTTGATCTCATTTTTTCTCGCCTTCTTCTCCACCACGGACTCAGCCTTGTCATTCCCCTTTGATGGCTTCCCTTGGCTATGAACAGTAGATGGCTCGCCTTGGTTATTCGAAGAACTTTCTCCCCCATGTTTCTGCTGCACCTTTCTCTAGTCTCCCTAACCATTGTCGTATTTCCTCGACGTGGGCCTGGATGAATCTATGTTGGTTGGCTCATACCCCCCGCAAGCTCTATAGCTATGGCCTCCGAAAGTCTCTAGGCATCACCTTGCTCCACTGCGAGTTTTTCCCCTGGGCTAAGTCATTCCA